CCCACAGAGTAGAAACATCTGGTGAAGGAATCCAGTTTCCTCCTTTCCTTGTCTGAAGGTGCAGAATGGGTTCTCTTGGTTTTAGATGAAGATGTTACCAACATAGAGTTAGGTTTAGGGTGAGTATAGATAAACTCCGCACTGCTTTCCCGTACCTTATACATATGGTCTAACCTGTACAAGGACACAGGCGCAGAGGATGGTTTGTCCCCAGATGCCTTGGTGGCTTGGAGAAGAACCGTGGACATAGGGAGAACGATGGCAGTAGATGTGTCTAACTGGACCACATCAAATACAACATCTGTCACCGATGGTTGGGGTTGTACTACCGAAAGGCTTAAAGAGTGGACCATGCATTTAATCAGATCACTGTAGGAGGTCAGATCCTCAGACGGAGAGATGGGGAGGTCATCAGAAACTGCTGGCTTCGGCGAAGGATCCTCTGGAGAGCTGTGTACATCTGAAGCAGCAGCATCAGAATCATCCCCAGAGGAGTTGTAAGAGGAAGAGATCGTCAGCGGTACCAGTGCAGGTGCATCTTGCATTGGTTCCATAGGTTGGGAAGGAGTAGCGGTCGATGCCAGTGAGGTCGGTATCAGAGGAAGCAGTGATTGACACCAAGGCCGTGGCCACCATGGAGATGATGGAGCCAGGGGTCTCGAAACTGAGGCAGACGGTACTGAACGATGCACACAGGGCGAACGTGAATACCTGGAAGATAGCTGATCCCAATCGCAAAGTCTTGTAGGAGTGAGCAAGGCACTGATGAAGAGAATGGGAAGGCACCATAGAGATATTGAAATTGATGTTGGTCCCAGGGGACCATATGCAGTGCGGGCGGGTGGAAATATTGGGTAGAAGATCTAGCTGGAGAGTATCCACGTCTAGAAGAGTAGTCTTGCTTGGGAGATGGGTACACCTGGTGAGACCAAAAAGAGGGTTGAGGAGGATCCGGAACACATCGAGGTCGGCAACCCATGTTGATGGGCGATCAGGACCGATGGCAAGACTCGATGTCAATAGGAGAGCGGGATCGATCGCTACCAAAAGAGGATCGGGAGTGTGACCTGACCTGTTTGGGAGAGTAACGGACAACAACCTCATTGATGTCCGATGCCGATACAGAGAAGGGTTGAGTGTTGGAGAAGGGCTGGAGCACTGGGGGGTTCAGCTGCTGAATAGGCGAGTCAAGTATTTGAATCGATGGGGCTGATATGACCATCAGCAGATCTGATGCCAGAGCCTCGAGGACAATCGGTTGTGTATGCAAAATGGACTCATGCGCAGAGCCCAGGGAGCCGGTCGCAGTGCTTGTTTTAACAGACTTATGGCCAGCCTTAGCAGAGGTCTTGTGGCCCTTATCCGGCTTAACCTTTTTCTTCTTTTTTATAGGAGTGGACAACACCAACTGGGTTATCGAGATTGGATGCTTCGCTGTCAATGAAATGATGTCAGAAGCCGATGGCGATGGTGGTGGTGCTGTTGATGAGGAAGGCTTCAGTGGTGCCTCAGAAGACATGTCGACTTGGGAACCCACAGAGGGAATGGTAACGGGTGTGAGAGCCGATTACAAGAGGGCAACGCGGAGCCAAGTTGCTCGGGTTTTACAAGTCTGATGGGAGAACTTTGCACAATGTGGGCAGGAGTCTGGATGGTGGGCTTCCCCCAAACAGAGGACACAGAGAGAGTAGCCGTCAGGAGAAGCAAGCTTCCTGCCACAGTTTGAGCAACTTTTAAAGAAATCCCACCTCTTAGCCATAAACAAGAAGGCAGACTGAGGAGGGCCAAAAATAAAAGGGGGGGGGGGAAGGAGCCGAAGCCCACAAAAACAAAGAAGAGTCCCTTTTTTAAAAAAAAAGGGGGCAAAATTCGAAGAAAATTCAAAGATGGAGAAGGTCCAAAAGATGGAGGAGAAGAAATCCAGTGAGGAGAGCAATTGAGGTAATCTCATCAACCAACAGAAGAGCTGTTAACAGTGCAGTGGTCAGAATGTCCGTGCCCTGCCCCTCTGGGCATGCATGGTTGGAGTTCCCGGGCATGCCGGGGGCTGAGGCATGAAAATTGAGGCTTTGTAGATCACCAATCAGATCGGCGCATGGGTGTGATGCACAGAGACCATGATGAAGATCTAGATCGGCACTGACTCTATTGCCAATATTGGTCTCAGCCAAAAAAGTTATTATTACTTGTTGGTTGAAAATTCAGTTTGGGGTAAGTTCATGTTTCTTAACCACAACTTACAAGGAAGGGAACACAATTTCTGGTGAATTTATATATTGAATATGGTAGCCAAGCTCGGACTTTCAGAAGCCTAAGAGGGTTTGACTTCTTTGCAGCAAAGCAATTAATAAAACAAAGACTGCTAGATATAGGTGTTCAGATGGACGCCACACTGCTAAGTACTTTGAGAACAGCTCCCCTTTACAAGCAGCTTGCACCTTCTCCTTTAACTCTGCCATCTTACCTTATTGACTTAATCCCAAGCATAGGAAGACATTTACCAAAGCACAATTGGATATCTTACAACTGGCAATGGTAAGAGGCCGTTACAATGTAATCCCATATGAAGGACATGTCTGTACTTGCAATCAGATTTCTATTGAGGATCTAGGCCAGGGGTATCAAATATAAGGCCTGGGGGCTGGAAATGGCCCATCCAGGGCTCATATTCAGCCTGCAAGTAACCGGTGCAAGGGAGGGAACAGGAGACTGCCGGGGGGGGGGGCAGAATCACTCCAATTGTGGCTTCAGCGTGGCAGAACAACCTCGTCTGCAGCAGTCAAGCAGAACCTATTCACTTCAGGGACCGGGAGCCACTGCAGCCGCATTCATACCTCTCATCTTGGCCTGCAGTTCTGGAGTTGCTGTCCTGGATGGCTGCTGGGATTAGCATTTGCACATTGGGGGTGCAGACAATTATACAATCCTCTGTTAGGGCCTTCTGGCAGCCAACTCCACTGCTGTACTCATGCTCCCTCAATGCAGCAGCTGTGCTTTGGCTCATGGGAGGGCATTCTTTGGCAGCTTCTTCTAAACATCAGGGGCTTAGTCTGCCACACGTGGTCTAGTGTGAGCAGTGCCCACTCCCCCATCAGATGATCCAGTGGCCTTTGATCTGGGATGGCTGGCTTGAACTCCCATCATTGACCTATCATGAATTACCTGGCAGACTTGGCTGAAGGTGGCTGCTGCCTCATGGGCATCTCCAGCTTACTGGACTTTGCTTGGCCTGTGTCCCACTGTGCACATGGCCTCGGACCTGGGCTGTTCCCCCCCCCACTTCTGCAATTGGGGAGGGGTTAGTTCAGCTTGCCTTCCCAGTCCCCTTTCATGGTGGTGTGAGGGCAGGGGGGACCTCACAACACCCAGCCATTTTAGATGTTACTTTGGTGCCTGGGCTCACAGCATTGGTGGTGGGAGCAGGCAGGGGAAGGGGTTTGCCCCCCTCCAGGCAACATGGGAGCATCTGTCCAGTGCTGCACTGTTAGCTCTCCAGTTTGCCCATGTGGGTTTTCCGACACCCTCCTCCCAGCCCATGGGGACCATGCACTGAGGACACACCAACTTGTAGCGTACCAGCTGCTGTCCTTTATATAGTTTATTATCTCTGGTACTTTGCATTATATGCTATGGCACACATGGCCTGGCCCAACAAAGTGGCATTTACGTCAGATCCGGCCCTCATAACAAATGAGTTTGACACCTGTGATCTAGGTCTTTTACTGCCCAAGATTTGCATTAGAATGAGAAAGATATCTTGGGACTATTTTATTACAATATCCAGTGAGAGTGGATAATGATAGAATAACTTTATTACTTGCTGACAAAAGTAAATGGATAACAATGCAAACAGCAACATTTGTTGCATGGGTGATAAAGGTCTTATCAAAACCACCCACTGTTAATGCGACTGATGGATAAATCTATGTATTTTGTCAACTATTTGACTGAACTGCTTGAACTGATGTTGGTTTTAACTCAATTTTTGTTGTAATCTTAATGATTGTTTATAAAATTGTAATGTATATTACAGTTTTATCATTATTGTGATCCTTGCATTATAACTCTGATGTAGGTATTTTTGGTTTTAATTGCTAAGACTGTGAAGTAGTGCACTAAAGCTTATGATTGATATGATTGATTATGCCCTTTCCAAGATAAAACAAACAAAAAAGCCATATGTATGTTTAAGCAGTGGCTTAGAGGTTAAGACACTGGGCTGCAGACTGGAAGGTCTGTAGTTTGGCAGTTTGAGACCCTAGTGCCACGTGACGGAGTGAGCTCCCGTCTCTGGCCCCAGTTCCTGCCAACCTAGCAGTTCAAAAGGAAGAAATTGCAAGAAGATAAATAGGTACTGCTTTGGTGGGAAGGTAACAATGTTCTGTGCACCTCGGTGTTTAGTCATGCTGGCCATATGACCACGGAGAAGTCTTCAGACAGCGCTGGCTCTTCGGCTTGGAAATGAAGATGAGCACCGCCCCCTAGAATCGGATTCAACTAGCCTTCAAGCAAAGGCAACCTTTACTTTTTTAAACTAAGTATAAGGGTCTTTAGCTCCTGCTTTAAGATACAATAAGCTTAAACAAGATAAGCCACTTTTTTTTTAAAAGCAATCTTGCAAGTCTGTAACTCCAAGTGGAGGGTGAGGGGCTGCTAAACTGCTCTCCTCAGGCTACACCTTTTCTGTTGTGAGAGGAAAATCAGATAGGAAAGGAAGGAGATTTTGAAGGTAAAAATGGCTAGAGCTGAAACTGTTCAGCAATATAATTCCTTCCCCTGCTATACTTCTGCTTAAACTTATAGCTTTCCAAGGCTTGTTTTTACTTATAACGGAAGGAGGAGAGAGAAAGATGATAAAACTATAAGACTGTGTGCCAAATCTAGTGTGGTCCTGAGTACAGGCAGGTCACTTTCAGACTAGCAGGCACTATAACACACAGAAGTGGAAAATTAAGGAACGGAAACAATAAATGCAACAGAACACAGGACTACTACACTACCTCCACTTTTGAGTAGATAGCGATTAACATCCTGTATGGTGGTGTTAATGGTGGGCCCTGTTGGAACACTTCCAGGCGTAACATCAGGATCATTCTCAGGGTCAATGTTCTGCAATCCTTTCCATGGTACTCCAGGATGAAATTCTGTTTGGAAAAGTATGGAAACATCACATTTACTTCCAACATTAGGGTTACCAGGTCCCCTCGCCATACCGGCGGGGGGGTTTGGGAGGCGTTCCAGGACGTCCCTGATGTGATGATGACACCCAGAAGTGACGTCATCACATCAGCCACATTGCACGATGATGCTCTGGTTTGAGGGCAAAATCCTACGGTTTCAGGCCAAATTTACCATAAAGTTTTGCCCTCAAACCAAAGCATCCTGCATGACACCCCCAATGTGATGATGTCACTTTCAGGTGACGTCATTGCACCGGGGACGTTGTGCAGGGATGTGGCTGTTTGGGGGTGGGGTTTCACCAAGTGGCCAGCTGGCCGGTGGTGGGCTGAAGCCCTGAAAGAACCCCTGCCAGGACCTGAGGACTGGCAACCCTATCCAACATTGGGTAAGTGGGTAAAGGTACAGCAGAAAAATAGATGAAAAGCAAGACTATCATGACCTTATGAGAGAACAACTAGTGGGATGGGCATTTTGCTAATGACCTAAGAAAAATCTCATCTTTGGAAGGCTCAGAGGACTCATTTTGGTGCCAAGTTTATGGAAACTCATCATAATAGAGACAAGGAAAATGTTTTTTGCTGCGGTTTATACTGGCATGTGACCTTTTATTTATCCAAATAAAATGTTTTGTTCAATAATAATCAGGCACACTGAACTTGTGGCTTCTCTACTTATTTTACAGAACACTATATCTGGATTAAGTTTAACCTGCTTCCTTATAGGGTTTTGGAGGACACCAAGTAACTGACATTCTGAAGCCACCAACAGAACAACTTCTGGGGCAGAGCAGCAGGCGGCTAGGCTAATACATTGGGAAGGTGGGGAAGGCACAGAAGAAGTTAATATTACATTTTTAAAATACTCTAATTCATTTTGAGGACTTTAAAAAGTGGGATAATAAAAGCCAAATAACTACAAGCTAAATCACTGTAGCAATATGATTCCACAATACTTATTGAGCTATACCTGGTGGCCAGTTGATGCTGGAACCATTGGAGATTTTATCGTTATCAGATTTGGCACGTGACCAGCTGTGAGGAACGGCTACAGGAGGACTGGCTGGTGACTCGCTGTTTTGAATCATATCATACCGGACATAAGAGTCATCAATGGAGGACTTTCCTGGAGGACCAATACTCAGACCTCCGGGGATAGCACCTGGTATACAGAAGAAAGGGAGAACACAAGACCAAAATTAATTTTGACTGCTTTTCTTAATACTATTGTTTTTATTTTGTTGCTAAGCATTTCAGCAAATCTAACTAGAACAATATATGCATCACATAACTCAACTATGACTCTGGAAAATCAAATTAACCCAGGGCCCAAAGTTAACTACCATTCAGTGCCATCTTAAGCTTCAATGAACCGGACTTATCGTCTTGAGAGGTATGCTGTCTACCGGGTGCATGCATCCAGGATGTGACGGAAAGGGTAGGAAGACACATCAAGCCCACGTATTATTATCCCTTCTTGCTCATCCATGTGGGAACAAATGATACTGCCCGGCACAGCTCAGAATGTATTAAAAGAGACTATGTGGCTCTGGGTAAAAAGGTGAAGGAATTGGAAGTGCAGGTTGTATTCTTGCCAGTTCTTCCTGTTGAAGGCTGTGGCTTAGGAAGGGAAAGAATACTGCAGATCAATGATTGGCTAAGTAGATGGTGTCATCAGGAAGGGTTTGGATTTTTGGACCATGGCTTATGCTTTCAAGATGAAGCTCTTCTATCGGGAGATGGTTTGCACCTCATGAGGGTAGGAAAAATGTGTTTGGAAACAGCCTTGCAAATCTAATAAGGAGAGCTTTAAACTAAATCCTGTGGGGGAGCAAGACAAAAATGCAAAGCCAATAACTGGAAATAAGAACTCTAAAGTTTTGCGGGGAGCGGCACGTATGCTAGATAACATTAACTCACATGTAAGTACAGAAACAAAAACCTCAGGGTGCATAAAACATGGATTCCAATGTCTCTACACTAATGTGCACAGTATGGGGAACAAGGAGGAGGAACTTGAAGTCCTAATACAGGAAGGGGACTATGACCTAATAGGCATTTTTGAAACTTGGTGGGATGACAGTCACAATTGGAATATTAGGACTGAGGGGTATAACTTATTTAAAAGGGACAAAAAATAAGGAAGGGCAGAGGAGTTGCATTATATGTAAAGGAGGTATATACTTGTGAGGAAATATGTGAATCTGAGCATGAAAGTCTGGTTGAGAGTCTCTGGGTAAAAATAAAAGGAGTAAGAAATAATACTGATATCATGATGGGGGTCTGCTAAAGACCACCAAGCCAGGAAGAGGATTTGGATCAGACAATCCTACAACAGATTACAAATTTATTTATTTATTATATTTATACCCCGCCCATCCTGTGAACAGGCTCAGGGCGGCTAACAAAGCGGTACAATGTGCCTAATTGGCATAACCATAAAAATTTTAAAACTACATAAAACATACTCATTCATGACATAAATTAACAGTTAGCAATAAAGTGCTTGCAGTACTAAAGATTAGATGGCGTGCTTTCCAGATCTAAATCCACGTTGTTCATCCAGTCATCATCCCTCGAGCCGATGGGCCTAGCGGTACAACTGGGCCAGACCTAGGATCCAGACGTTCAATAGGATCATTGATGGTAACAGTAGTGGCGGCTCCTATTTAAAAGCCTGGCGGAAGAGCTCCGTCTTACTGACCCTGAGGAACTGTAGAAGGTCCCGCAGGGCCCTGATCTCCTCCGGGAGCTTGTTCCACCAGTAGGGAGCCACCGCAGAAAAGGCTCTGGTCCTGGTACTGGTGAGCCTTGCATCCTTGGGGCCCGGAATAGTCAAACAATGTTGGGCCCCTGACCGTAGTGCTCTCTGGGGTACATATGGGGAAAGGTGGTCCCTCAGGTATCGGTCCCTGGTCATGTAGGGCTTTAAAGGTAAGCACCAGCACCTTGAAACGAATCCGGTATGCTATTGGCAGCCAGTGCAGTGACCTAAGCACTGGCTGGATGTGCTCCCGACGTGGGAGATCCATCAGCAGCCTGGCTGCGGCATTCTGCACCAGCTGCAGCTTTCGGATTTGGGACAAGGGCAGTCCCATGTAGAGAGCGTTGCAATAGTCAAGTCTCAAGGTGACCGTTGCGTGGATCACAGTCGCCAGGTTGCAGCGGTCAAGGAAGGGAATCAGCTGCCAAACCAGCCGAAGATGATAAAAGGCCGATTTAGCAGTGGCCGCTACCTGGGCCTCCATTGTCAAGGAGGCATTCAGGAGCACCCCCAGACTCCTAACCTCTGACGCTGGCACAAGAGGTGCCCCATCGAAGGCCGGGAGTGGGACCCCCAACCCTGAACTGTCACAGCTCAGGCACAGGACCTCCGTCTTTGCCGGATTCAGATTCAACCGGCTCAGCCGAAGCCAGCCAGCCACGGCCTGTAACGCCCGGTCCAGATCTTCTGGTCTGGAGTCCGACCGGCCACCCAACATCAGATAGAGCTGGGTGTCATCAGTGTACTGATGGCAACCCAACCTATACCTCCGAGCCACCTGGGCAAGGGGGCGCAAAAAAATGTTAAACAACATCGGGGACAGTACTGTGCCCTGGGGTACACCACACTCAAGTGGGTGTCTCCTGGACTGCTGTTCCCCAAGCACCACCCTTTGTCCCTGACCCTGGAGAAAAGAGACAAGCTACCGTAAAGCGTGTAAAACTGTAAAACAAAGTTCTCAAAGAGATGGGACATGGTGGTCATGGGAGATTTCAATTACCCAGATATCTGTTGGAAGTCAAACTCTGCTAAGAATGAAAGGTCCAAGAAATTCCTGACCTGCTCACAAGTTCATTTTCCGAAAGTGGAGAGGGAAACAGGGTGATCTGCTATCTTGGACTTGATACTTACCAAAAGGGAAGAACTGGTTGATGAGGTGGAAGTAGTGGGAACCCTGAGTAATAGTGACCATGTAATTTTGGAATTTACAGTCTTGGGGAAAGTAAAAGCTGTACATATTAAGACATATAGGTTGGAGTTCAGAAAAGCAAATTTTGATAAGCTTAAAGTTATGCTGGGTAGAATCCCATGGTCCAAAATACTTAAGGAGAAGGGGGCTCAAGAGGGATGGGAGTTTCTTTAAAGTGAAATACTGAAGGCACAATCACAAATGATCCCTATGAGAAGGAAAAATGGAAGGAGCCTAAAGAAGCCAAGGTGGCTCTATAAATAGCTTCCTAAGGCCTTGAAAAATAAAAGACTCATTCAGAAAGTGGAAGGAGGGCCTTATGACCAAGGATGAATACAAATAACCAGTGCTTGTAGAGAGAGAGAGTTAGGAAAGCTAAAGCTCAGTATTAGCTTAAGCTAGCGAGAGATGCTAGCGAGAGATGTTCTATGTAAGAAAAAGAGCAAGAACATGGTCGGCCCATTGCGAGGACAGGAAAGTGAAATTATAACAGATGATGAAGAGAGGGCAGAACTGCCCAATTCTTACTTTTCCTCAGTCTTCTCTTGCAAGGGAAATGGTGCTCAACATGGAAAAAACAGAACACATGATGAGGGAATGGAGTTGCAGCCTAGGATCGACATGGGGTAGTACATAAACACATAGTTTCTTTAAATGAAACAAAGTCTTTGGGGCCAGATGAGCTGCATCCAAGGGTACTAAAGAACTTGCAGAAGTAATTTCTGAGCCTCTGTCCATTATTTTTGAGAATACTTGGCGAACAGGTGAGGTGCCAGAAGGTTGGAGGTGGGCAAATGTTGTCCCCATCTTCAAGAAGGGGAAAAAGGAGGATCTGAGTAACTACCAACCCGTCAGCTTGACATCTATACCTGGGAAAGTTTTAGAACAAATAATCAAACAGACAGTCCTTGAGCATTTAGAAAGGATGGCTGTAATTACTAAGAGCCAGCATGGGTTTCTCAAGAAAAAGTCATGTCAGACGAACCTTATCTCTTTTTTGGAGAAAGTTACTACCTTGATGGACCAGGGGAATGCTGTAGACATAGTTTATCTTGATTTTAGTAAGGCTTTTGATAATGTTCCACAGAATATACTTGTTTTTTTTAGATGAGAGTTTATACTTATATATGTATTGAAAATACCTCATACATATATATCTGATTTCCTACCTATCTACTGTTCAATCTACTCTGATCTAATTCTTGCACTAAAGCAGTTTAAAAATATACCTTTACTGCTATTTAAACATTATTTAAACAATTTCAAAAATCCCTAAATTTATATAAAATTCTCTTATCCTTTCTAATCTTATATTTTGATTACATCATCCATGTAAAATGTTAAAATAACTTTCCCCTTACAGTCATTCAATATGCATCATTGCTTTTCCATAATCAATCTTGATGTAATACAGAAGTACAGAAGGTCTCTTTCATTTTTAATCTATACAATTTGTTATATAATTTTCAATATAATCCTACCTCCACAAATCCCCATCACGATACTTTTAAATTGTAATCCCGTTATACAAATCTAATTACCACTATCAATTTATAAGTATCAAATATAAACTTAAATGTTACATAGCCAAACTTAACACATACAGAGGTTTAACCAGTCATAGCATGCAGACCAAGCGATTCCTAAACCCATTCTTATTTATAAAGTTTAAATCTCTTCTTTTTCTGGATCCTTCTCTTCAGTATAATCTTAAATCTATGTTGTTCATTCTTATACAGGAAGAGATTTTCCCTTAAATCTCGGCTTCCATATTCCATCCTTGAAGTGGTTTTGAACTCCTTAAGTTCCCTTTCTTTTAGAACTATTTTTCCCTTAAGAACTTTAAAAAATCCAACTTTTAGTTCCTCTTCAGATGCTCGGCTGTGCTTCCCTGGGTCCATGCTTTTTCTCTGTTTTGATGAGTCTATTCTGCTTGAAGTCTTGCTTAAAGTCTTGATCCAAATCTTGAGTGGTTTCAATTTGTGCTGGTGAAGCCTGCCAGTCATCCTGAATCAATAAAAAAACTACTGCCAAGCTGACAGTTTGTGAAATCAGGGGCTTGAGCTCATCACGAAATGCCTATGTCCAGTAGGTGTCACCAGAGCTATCTCCAGACACGTCAGCTGGCATTTTTCCCAATGCAGCTTGCATTGTTTTCAATAGCCTCCCCAGCTTAACTGCGTTTCCCCATAGCAGTTTCTCCAGACAA